AGAGAGAGGAAACACAGAGAGATGGAGAAGCACATCAAATTTTACCGAAAAAAACAAAGAGTCATTTCTTCATAATATAACTAGATGTAAAAATTTCGATTTAAAGCTTTCGTGACTGCAATGATTCATCTTCTTTGGTTCTTTCGGTAAAGTCACGTAGAATGAGAATAAAATAATAAATTGATAAAATAAAATAACACAATAATATTCTCACGACGTTTCGGCCACAACACAAGCGGCCTTCATCAGGTGAAGGGAGCGAGACTGTCTGGTAGGACAGCGCTGGAGTGAGAGAGCCACGTTCAGATCAGGGCTTTTAAGCTGTGTGAGAGGAACAAAGAGCCTTGACGAAGGAATTAGCATAAAATTAGCATTGAAAAGGCTGAATGATTAGCTTGTGACTGGTCACAGAAATAGCTATGTTAAAAGTTAAAGCATACACCTCCGCAGAGGCACCCATTGTTAAAAGGAATTAGCATAGAATTTAGCATTGAAATAGCTAAATTAAGGCATTCGCTTGTAACTGCTACAGAAATAGTTACGTTGAAGTCAGAGCATACACATTCACCGAGGCACTTAGTACAAATCAAAACAGGAGAATTTAGCATTGAAATAACTAGGCGAATTTAGCATTGAAATAACTGGGTGATTTGCTGGTGACTGGTCACAGAAATGACTACACATCTGAACTATTCACAGTACTATATAGTGAACCAATCAAAACTAAAATATAAATTACCTTCATGTTATCAATAAACTCTATATTCTCCAATCAGCTAAGCTACCAACCATAAGTCGTTATATATCACAATGCTATATGGTGAAAAAATGGGTGGATTCTTACCCTCAAATTTCCGTACCACGGATAGCTACGGGCCCCGTTCAGACGGACGAGTTCGTCCATGGTCGGAACAGAGGAGGGGGAGAGAGACAGCTGCGAAGCCCTAGTATACTCCATGTTGTAAACCATACCATTAACCGTGGTGTGAGAGGTATTAAGAACAGAGGAGGGGGAGAGAGACAGCTGCGAAGCCCTAGTATACTCCATGTTGTAAACCATACCATTAACCGTGGTGTGAGAGGTATTAAGAGGCAATGCTGGCGAAAGAGCTGCGGTCTGAAGGTCTCTCTCCCCCTCCTCTGTTCCGACCATGGACGAACTCGTCCGTCTGAACGGGGCCCGTAGCTATCCGTGGTACGGAAATTTGAGGGTAAGAATCCACCCATTTTTTCACCATATAGCATTGTGATATATAACGACTTATGGTTGGTAGCTTAGCTGATTGGAGAATATAGAGTTTATTGATAACATGAAGGTAATTTATATTTTAGTTTTGATTGGTTCACTATATAGTACTGTGAATAGTTCAGATGTGTAGTCATTTCTGTGACCAGTCACCAGCAAATCACCCAGTTATTTCAATGCTAAATTCGCCTAGTTATTTCAATGCTAAATTCTCCTGTTTTGATTTGTACTAAGTGCCTCGGTGAATGTGTATGCTCTGACTTCAACGTAACTATTTCTGTAGCAGTTACAAGCGAATGCCTTAATTTAGCTATTTCAATGCTAAATTCTATGCTAATTCCTTTCAACAATGGGTGCCTCTGCGGAGGTGTATGCTTTAACTTTTAACATAGCTATTTCTGTGACCAGTCACAAGCTAATCATTCAGCCTTTTCAATGCTAAATTTTATGCTAATTCCTTCGTCAAGGCTCTTTGTTCCTCTCACACAGCTTAAAAGCCCTGATCTGAACGTGGCTCTCTCACTCCAGCGCTGTCCTACCAGACAGTCTCGCTCCCTTCACCTGATGAAGGCCGCTTGTGTTGTGGCCGAAACGTCGTGAGAATATTATTGTGTTATTTTATTTTATCAATTTATTATTTTATTCTCATTCTACGTGACTTTACCGAAAGAACCAAAGAAGATAGATGTAAAAATGTCCTTATTGATTATTATTACACGGTTAATGTACGCTTTATTACAGTGATTGTGACTTGGAAACTTAAGGTGAAATTGTAATATGTTTTATTTCTGGTATACAATCGTTGTGGAAATGTTATGTTGCTTTGCCAGGGGCCAGAGCTCCTGGTCCACAGATAGAGCAGCAGCTAAACAGCAGATGACACACACATTACTTAAATAAACAAAATAGGTGATGGAATAAACTGCGTTTATTTAGTTTTTGTGATTCCTTAACAATATTGATTGAACATTTTGTCGTCACCAAGACATGAAATAGTGACCCCATTCCCTGCCATATTTGATCGATTATATTTACTTCAAATGATTATTTAAGATTTAGTTTTTGTTAACTGCTGCCCGCAAGGGGGCAACCAAAGAGCCGCATGCGACACCGCAGTCCCTGTGCTGTGCGCTCCTGAGACGTGGACAAGCTGGCTTCTGGGCGGGTTGATGGAGCACGGTGGTGTTGTGTGGCTTGCGGTGTTGATGCCGTGGTCATTATTGCAGACACACCAATGCTTTTTGGAGACCACGTTCCAAGTAAACAGTTCCCGTCAAACATACCCGTCAACCCCCTGTCAGTTTCTACCTTATTACAGACCAATTCAGACCTTATTGGTCACCCGTGCCCTTTATAAATCTCAACGTTCACCCTACAAAGTACCATCACGAGGGAAATACACAAACAAATAGACACAAATTATTTTTTGTGCCCGTATTGAAACGGCTGTTCGCCGTATGGACCCGAAAACTAAATTTCCCTGTAGAAGAATACGGAGCAAACCGTCACATGACCTGGTCGTAAAGTTGCTCATCCATCTCACCGAGCCGTGTGATATGGACAGGGACGAACGGAACGCAAATTCAGATTTCTGTAAAATCACAGCTTGCAATGTGAACTGTAAGATCACAGAGTGATTCCGTGTTCTGTGACATCACAGCAAGCACCGTGCAGTGTAACCGCGCTGAGAATGTGGCAATTGTTAACATTATTTAATTATGAATTCCGTAGATATGAATGTAGCATTGGGATCAATTTTATCTATTTGAAGCATGAATGATTTGCCTTGAAATAAGCTCCATTTAGCTGACCAAGCTTCTGGCCACGATATTTTACATGCATCCTGTATGTAATATCCCCCACCCCAACACTGTGCTCCTCCATCAGCTCAGCGATCCAGCCACCAGACCTCTGCCCCTACCACACTTCACCTACCCTCATCCATGCCCATTTCACAACTTCACGCTTGTGCCCCATACCCCACTCCCTCTCATTCACTTTGCACCCATCAGACACTCTCACTCACCATCACACACTCCACCTTAATGAGACCTCCTTTGCCAGTAACAAGATATAGTAATAGGTTTTACCCTTTTAACTGACACAAAAAACTAACACCTTTATTCAAGGCATCATGTTTGCAATAAAAACAACACAAGCAGTCAAAATGCAAACAAAAAGACAACTCTGATAATAATATGCACTGTCCTTGAATTTGATTGGTCCACACCCGAGACGGTTTCTTTAGAGCCTAGTCTCCACTGGTGTTGGACCAGAAGAGCCAAAAGGCGTACAACTCAAAAACAGCACACTATCAGAGTATTGAGGGCCCGGGGTGAGCATTTACATTATGAGACCTCCTTTGCCAGTAACAAGTTATAGTAATAGGTTTTACCCTTTTAACTGGCACAAAAAACTGACACCTTTATTACTATATCTTGTTACTGGCAAAGGAGGTCTCATAATGTAAATGCTCACCCCGGGCCCTCAATACTCTGATAGTGTGCTGTTTTTGAGTTGTACGCCTTTTAGCTCTTCTGGTCCAACACCAGTGGAGACTAGGCTCTAAAGAAAGCCGACTCGGGTGTGGACCAATCATTTTGACTGCTTGTGTTGTGGTTATTGCAGACATGATGCCTTGAATTAAGGTGTCAGTTTTTTGTGCCAGTTAAAAGGGTAAAACCTATTACTACACTCCACCTTATTCTGCCTTACCTACCCCTGCAACATCAGCTCCATTACTGGCCCCTGTCCCTCTATGCATTCCGTCACCTCTCTCACTGAACGCCGTCGGCTTGCATTTTAAAGCGCCCTGCAAACAGCGCTATATGAATCCGAAATAGAATAGAGGAGTCTTGTCGTTTGACTCGTTATTTATAGAATATAGCCAATAATAGTACACTAACCACTGCTGGATTAAGGCCTCCATATACAGTGTCTTTGAGGGGTTGTTTGACCGAACTTCACCATCCTGGTTGGGGTGGGTTGGTGATGGTCCTTTCACTCGCTACTGATTGTAGTCTTGGCCAAGAATCAAACACAGGTGACCAGTTTAACACGGAGTAGGATTCGTGACCAATATCCAAAATAGATGTTTTTTGGGATATATCGCGTAAATATAAATGTGTCGTTAAACCTGCCATCACCCGACACACTGGTGTGTTGGAGAGTAAACCCACAACATTTACAATTTGAGTACGACGTTTTGCCAGTAATTACATCCAGCCTCATCAGGCGACAGCCAGAGTTGTTACTCTCCAACACACCGGTTAGTGCAGAACTAGTAACGAATTGGCATGTTTGTTTAAGTGACAAACCTTACTAATTGGCTGTGTCGAGTGGTGGTGGGTTTAACGACGCAATTATATATACGCGATCTAACCCATAAAGACCTCTATAAAGTGACCAGGTTCAGAATACAATGTGCTAACCAATACATCATCACCATAGTATCCAGCATCAGAGTGAGTGGCTCACAATCTAGAAGTTTGGGAGTTCAATTCCTGGTTGCGGATTGACTCATTCGACTCAAATGTCAACAGTGGTTGTCCTATGGATAGACTTGACCCGTCATAGGAATGTGGAATTTCCACTTCTGACTCGGCGCTGCAAACAGGAGGTGAGCACTACCTCAATGCTCCTTAAACAGGCGTTCACTTTGACTTTTAGGCTTTTAAAGTAAACTGTGAAATCTACTTTGAATAAGTGCATACCCCATAAAAACAAGCTCACAAAAAACACAGAAACCAAGATTAATTATTGGTTCACATTTTTATTCATTTGGTTACACCATAAGAATTGTTGTCATGCTCATCGTTATGGTCGCGGTGAAGAGTAGTGTGTTAGATCCACGCTTAGTTGGCCGCGATGGTCTGCGCGATCCAGGCGTTGTAGTTGCACACCTTGGTGTACACGCCGGGGTAGTTGGGCAGGGCGCAACCACGGCCCCAGGACACGATGCCCTGCAGCTCGCCATTGCACACGACGGGGCCGCCGGAGTCTCCCTGCGGTAGCGGCAGCAGCAGGGGTCAGGGGGGTCGGGGGTTAGCAGCTGTCTCCTGCATCCGGTGGCTTAATGGTAGAGCAAGAAGCTGTCAATCGTAAGGTTTTGCGAGTTCAAGTCCTGGTTGGAGGTTGCTATCTTGGTTTGTATTTATATAGGTTTTTTTGTTGTTATACCCACGATCTAACCCCCAAAAACGTATATTATGGATGATTTTGGTCGCGAAAGCCTACGTGTTAAACCGGTGTTTTGTATTGGTTGTTGTTGTAACGTTCTGACCGGCCCCGACTGGACATCTGACAAAAGAGAGATTATAGCTCATCGGATTCCTCCAGCAAAAGTAAAAATTCTGATTCTGACTCATCCCATCATTTCTCTGAGAAAGTCATCGGATTCCTCCAGCAAAAGTAAAAATTCTGATTCTGACTCATCCCATCATTTCTCTGAGAAAGTCAATGGTGATTGCCCAATCACTTTTTCACTCAGGGCTGTAAACGCGAGGTGAGCACCAGTGGCTCAATGGTCATTGCAGCAGGAAATTGATTTCACTTAACTAGCAGACGTGACCAGGGAGTAGCAAGTGAACGTCGTATTTATGTTTCAAATGGGTGCAATTCTGTCAATGCACATTTGAACATGTTACCAACGCAGCTTATTATCGTATGCAATGTGTGGTCACACGATGATTGCACTCACAAATCAAATCACGTGTAACAATTTTCAGCAATTACTCTGGTCAATTGAGTCTGGAATTGCCTCCCTCCGGCCATCTTTTGCTGCAAAATTCAAGCCTAGGCTTAATACTTTTTAAATACAAATATATATACATATATACATTCTCCCTGTTTTCATTGTTTCACGTTTGATATGAATACCGTATCCTACTTCTTGCGCAGCATATTTACGTGAAACGATATAAACCCAAATTATAGTCGCGCTACGATTCCCGAAACCCTCCGTTCCTCGAATCTGTCTCCGATCGAAGCGAGCTCCTTCGGCTTCGATGTCGCCGTCTCACCTGGCAGGAGTCCTTGCCGCCCTCCAGGTATCCCAGGCAGATCATGTTGTTAGTGATGTCACCAGGGTAGGAGTTCCTGCAGGAGGTGTCGCTCAGCACGGGCGCCTGGACGCACATGAGGACGTCGGGACTGCCTGTGGGGGGAGACAACACCAGTCGAGGAGGTGGCGAGGCCGAGCACACGGCACAGGGCGGCACCCCGCCACTGACGCGTCGGTCTTGTAACGCTGCGGGGTCAAAACACCGCCTGCAGCTTAGGAATTCACTGTCAGTGCCTCTCGCTACGTTGCTCAATTCGTGACGTCTTCAGTAGCGTGGTGGGTTGCTGGCCGCTGGCGTTTCGGGCCTTTATGCCAGTGCTGCACAATAATTATATATTTCCATGATTAGATGTTTAAGTGTTATCCCCTCAGTTCAGCCACTCCGGTTTCCCACTGCATGCAACAATATTCGACAAGTAATTGTAACCGCGCAATCGTGACGTGGCTGCGTTAACGAGTAAACAACTTCTCTCTCCAGATTAGAAGGAAGTTACCGATTTGCATGGGGGCAGATGTTGAACGCGTTTTCCTTCACGTCTCTGCCGTAGTAGAAGGGGGAGAAGGGGGGTGGGTGGGGGGCGGTGAGCGCGGTGCATCCTCACCGACACTGGTCTGGGTCTCGCCCCAGCCGGAGATGGTGCACATGACTCCGGTGTTGACGCAGGAGGAGGGCAGGGCGATGGCCTGCGCGTACTGATTGAGGGTGGCAGGTGAGGACAGCTTGATGAGCATGATGTCGTTGTCGATGGTCCAGGAGTTGTACTGGGGGTGCTGGATCGCCTTGGAGGCCTGAATCTGCTGCTCGGTGCCCTCGTTCACGAAGATGTTGTGCTCGCCGATGCGCACGGAGATGCGGGACGCGCTGGGGTTGGAGGAGGAGAAGGAGAGGGACGAGAATAATGATGAGGAATTGCATTTATACAGCTTTTAAATTACTTCGCAACTCGGTGCCTAACGCCGCATCTCATTTCCACTATTCCTATTCCTTCCCAAATGAAACGCTTCATGTTCAAAATCACGGTTGGGGGTTCACTTGGCCCATCTCCCCTCTGAGATTGATAACATTGCTACTACTTTGTAGGGTGATTTTCCTGTGGAGAGACTCACCCACGAAATTAGGAATGTGGAATTTACACCACTGGTTCAAGGCTGTTAACGGGAGTTCAGCAACACCTCAGTGCCCATTGAGAGATGTAATATGGGTAACGGAGATTGCAGTCCCGTGGCTCGGCAAAACCCCACCAGAACATCACGCCACCACGCAGAGATGGACAAAAGGCATTCAGATTTCTGACTTATGTAATTTATGTACGAATGACCAATATCTTTGAGGTGTGTAATTTAGATACCAATTGCAAATTGCAAATGTAACGAAATTACATGCGGAAATTTTCGTGTAATTTAGATAGCAGCCCCATCTCTGCCCCCTCAGCCTCCCAGTCACCGACACGCACACAGCAAAGAGATCCGCTCTTGTCCGCACGCAGCGCACTCACGTCTGGTAGCAGTGAGCGGCAGACACGACCCACTGGCTGTTGATAAGGGAGCCTCCGCAGAAGTGGTATCCGATGTTGAGGGACACCTGCCACGGCTGTGAGTGGGCAGCGCACTCGGAGCCACCCACGATGTGGTCCTCATACATGTATGGGGCCGCCGCTGTCAGACAAAGACAAAGATCCCCCAGTAGAGCCTTCACAGACTGTTGGGGCAAGTGTTATTAGCGAGCACCTATGAAGGCCGGCACGGCACACAAGGGGGTGGGTGGCCAGCACACACAGTCGTGTCGATGTATGTCCAGGGCCATTCACTTGCATCCACCGACATTCATCATCATCGTCGTCGTTGTCTTCATTGAAAGCAGTCTCACTGCTAGTAACATCCCAATCATCGCCAACATTGGAGTTGCTCGAACACCCCAATGTGGGACCACAAAGCTTTGGAAGTTGTTGGCATCTGTTTTGCTTTCCCACGCGTCTGTCTGTGGGTTTCCTCTGGGTCTTTGTGCCAAAGGCGCTTTGCACATTCTACAGTAGCAATTTGCATGAAAAACATTCCTGCGGAGGGAACTGGTAGGAACGTTGGGTTGCTCGGTCAATGGCCAGGATCAACGGCGGCGTGGTGTATTCCGCAAATATGCCCGACTGTGAGGGCGGGCACAAGCCGGCGTGAGTAGGTTAAACGTTGAGTTTTATAGGGCACCACGGGGTGACCAGCCCCTCCCCAACCAGCCCCACCCCTCCCACCCCCAATCCAGCCACACACTCCCCAACCAGCCCCTCCCCACCCAGCCCCTCCCCACCCTCCCCACCCAGCCCCTCTCTACCCTCCCCTCCCCACCCAGCCCCTCCCCACCCTCCCCACCCAGCCCCTCCCCACCCAGCCCCTCCCTCCCCACAAAGCCCCTCCCCACCCTCCCCTCTCCACCCAGCCCCACCCCTCCCATTTTTGGATGCACGATGGATGGACGGACACAATCCCCTGTGGGCTGGTGTAACCAGGAGGTTCCTACCAGTATTAAGCTGTATTAAAATCATAGTACTGTATTATTATAAATAATAGTTATTGCTTGCACAATTATTATCAACGCCATCACTCCACTGTCATTGCCAGACGTATGTGTGTTGAATACCTGTCAACCCCTTGTCAGTGTCTACCTTATTACTGACCAATTCAGACCTTATTAGTCAACCTTACCCTTTATAAATATCAACGTTCACCCGACAACGTCCCATCACAAGGGAGAAACACAAACAAATAGACAATTTTTTTTTGCCCGTATTGAAACGGCAGTCCGCCGTATGGACCTGAAAACTCAAATTCCCTGTACACAAATACGGGATAAACCGTTCGGGTTGACAGCTATGGCGTTGTACGTTAAACTTCTTTTCGTACCGTACGTAGTCAACCGAGCTAATCGGACGATTATAATCGACACCATCGTCATCACCATCTCGCTCCTCACCGTCTCTCCTAGAGTGCTAAAAAGTAGCAATTACCGGTGGGGTTAAATGAGTAAAAGTGAAAGTCATCGGTGATGAGGCGAGACGTTTTTGGATTTGAGGTCAATCGGATACAAATGGGCGACAGACGTTGTGCAACAAAACTATCTTGTCGTATCGACAGATGCACCACTATTGCTGCTCTCTAAGTATCCACGACAAGATAGTTTTAATTATAGTGATACAATGATAATAATATTCAGCCCCTTGTCAATCGAATGCAGAATGAAGTCCTCCCCACTCTGTGTTGGTCGTTTCTTTAAAACTGCTTTTTGTGTTTATCACGGTGCAAAAGAAGTTCGACATGCATAAATGGGGGTTGTTTAACAATTCTTCACAACGCTGGTCATTTAGGGTTCTGTCTTAAAAGGAAAATATATCATAGACGACGTTTTGGACAATGGCCATTCTTCATAGCACCAACATAATTTGGATCACATATCGCTCGCAACTAATGTTTGGTCGTGAGCTCAAAATCGAACTCGAGTCACCGGGTTCGTAGCGCAGCGCGCTGTTACACTACCGCTCCCCAAACGTCTACAAGACACAAAGATCCCCCGTATAGCCTTAACAGACTGTTGGGGCAATTTCTGTCAGCGAGCATCTATGATGGCCAGCACAGACACACACGGAGACAAAGACAAACATCCCTAGTTTAGCCTGAACAGACTGTTTGGCCAAGTGCTGTTAGCGAGTAGCACCTATGAAAAAGGCTGGCGATGTTCACACATCGAACCAGGTACTCATTTGAGGCTGAGTCGACCTAGGAGAGACCAAGACCGGTTTAGATAATCGTCAGAATCGAACTCAGGTCGCTGGGTTCGTAGCGCAGCACGCTTACCATTGCACTATCGCTCCCGACACACAGAGACACACATAGAGACAAATGAAGACAAAGACAGAGACACACACAGACAAACAAAAACACACACAGACTCTGGAGGAACTCACCAGCGACACCCACGAGAAGAGCGAGGATGAGCCCGTGCATGTTTTTCTGTGGTTCGTGAGCAAGACGATGCTGAGCTGCTGCCCCGAGTCCGCTTATATCCCAATCGGCAACTCCACCTTATCTCGTGGCCTTGTCCTGTATCTTCTGTGCTGCCCGGTACCTTGTGGAAGCCTCATTAAACCTATCGATATTTTCACAGCCGATACTGAAATAGCCAGAACCGGTTACCAGAAATATACGCCACAACCGTATCAAACGCTTTTCATTTGTTCATATGCGCGCCTTCCACTGTGGTATTCCTGTCAAATTATGCGCTGGGTTCCAAGGGTGTCAAGCTCTGGGATCCTGCGGATGGAGGAACAGGGTCTTGCAGAGGCGCAACCTCAGTAACCGTACGTCCGTCCCTATCGGCCACATCACACACCTGGCTATCAGATGGTGGAGATGAAATTCCCTCATAAGGTGGAAAATATAGCCTATGTAATTTAGATGTGCCCACAGGCACCTGGGGGCAATGCAGCCATGCCCTCTCAACACCCTGCACAAATCCGCATACCGTATATGATCCCACTTCCGCCGCCATGATATGGTGTGCCAACGCGGTCTATTGCCTAGACGCCCCGCGGCTAACCATCACGCACCGAAGCACCATATCCGTACCCCGTATCACTATGAGGGGCGATGGTGTGTGCACCCGACACCGACTGCAATGGGGATGCATGAGGTGGCTGTGTCGGCCGGGTGTGTGACGCATCGCGACCTGCGTTTGGACCAGAGAAGCGGAGGCCGGCAGGGCGGAGGACAGCGCAGCCGGGAAAAACTGTCCCAAATCAGCACGGCAGCCACTGGAGATGTGGCCCGGTCTTCTTCTTTCTTCTGGGATCCCTCGTATTCGAGTATGATTTCCCTCCAGGTGTCACTTGTCTGTGTTGTGAGGTGGACCTGGCTGTCCATGGGTCCGGAGATGGGTGAATAGGCCAATCCGTGACCTGCAGATCTTGGCACAGTCGGTTTACGGATGGTCCATCCTGGAGCTCCCACTCGTTGTTCCCTCTGTCTCTGTTGTATGTGCTTTGTGGTGTGCTCTTTTTCTGGCTATCAACTCTCTTCACTCGGCCTCGAAATCCTAAGTTCCATTTTTTATTTTGGCCCTCCATGATGATCTATCAAGAGCATAGATTTCCCAGTTGTTTGGATCTATGTGGCTTCGCTTGAGGTGCATTTTAAGGTTGTCATGGAAACGCTTCCTTTGACCTCTGGGGGCACGTGATCCATCGCTGAGCTGGGAATATAAGAATTGCTTAGGAAGCCTCGAGTCATTCATCCTCACAAGGTGACCTGCCCATCTGAGTTGATACTTCATCATGATGGCCTCTATGCTGGATGAGTTGGATCGCTCCAGGACACTAATATTAGTTTGTCTTTCTTCCCAAGTGATGTTTAGTATTTTCCTGAGAGAGCGTTAATTAAACAATCTGAGAGATTTTACATGTTTACGATAAGTGTTCCAGGTTTCTGCACCATATAAGAGGTTGGGTCTTTTAGTCTGGTTACATTGAGTCTTTTCCTCTGTAGTTTTGGTCGGTTGATGTGTTTATGTTTTAGTTTGAGAGTCATCACTTATCGAATTAGTCTGTGGTCAGTCCAGCAATCGTCTGCATTGATCATGAGTGATGCAGATGTCTGTGCTGTCAAGCTTCCTAACAATCACGTAGTCCAGTAAATGCCATTGGTGTGATCGAGGGTGGCACTAGGAGGGCTTAAGGCTATTCTTCTGCCTGAAAAGTGTGTTGGTAATTGTCAGGTCGTGCTCAGAAGAGGTTGTAAGAAGAAGGTGACCATTGGAGTTGGACTTTCCAACTCCCTCTTTACCAATGACACCGTTCCGCATTTGATGGTCTCTCCCAACTATAGCATTGAAGTCGCCGAGGAAAATCAGCTTGTCCCTTTTGGTGTACTCTGAAGGATTTGGTTGAGTTGGCTGTAGTAGGTCTCCTTAGTGTCTTCTTCAGAGTCCAGTGTTGGTGCGTAGGTGCTGATGATGGTTCATGTTGGTCTTTTGCGAGGATCAGGTGCAGGGTCATAAAACGCTCATTGATACCAATTGGCAGCTCATTTGAGCTGTTGATGAGCATGTTGTCTATTGGAAACCCTACACCATCCAGGCGTCGTTCATGCGCTGGTTTACCCTTCTAAAAGAAGGTGTAGCCTCCACTTCACTCGGTCAGTTGGCCTTCATCCACCAGATGGGTTTCGCTGATGGCGGCAATATGGATATTAAATCGTCTCAGCTCGCGTGCCACAAGAGCTGTTTGGCCCTCTGGACTTTGCGAGTTTGGGTTGTCTGTGAGGGTCCTGACATTCCAGGATCCAATGTTTAGGCTATATTTATTTTTGTTTCGACCGCAATTATTGATGCTCCCTCTGGTCGCAGTAAGCCAGACAGGATGTTGCTAAGGCAGGCTATGTTTACGGCACCTTTTCTAGCCCCCTCCCCATCTGAAGGTGAGAAGAGTGGATCCTGGTAGGCTGCTCAGTCACAGCTATAGCTGTCGGGATGCACTCCTGCCTAATCCGAGTGCATAACGACCTTCTAATAGCTGCCGCCTTGGTGCTGCGTTGTGACTAGGAGCTTCTAGCTGCATAGGCCTGCCCCACTCGCCACTTGCCAATTGCCCAAGGGCTTTGGGTGTGTAGTGTGGTGGTGCGATGGCACAGTTTTCCTGGAGGGTATCAGTGCGTGAATTAATTTACATGCAGTGTCCGTTTCACACCAGCTACCGCACGGGGCTAACCAGGAACCAAGCCTGGGTCCAATGGCGAGGCAGAAAACCAAAACGATTGGAAGGCTTGTCCTGAAGCACCAGACATCCAGTGGCTCCTCCGCCATATGCCGTTGGCCATCTGGATCATAGCTCATCCACCCCACCAAGGTGGGCCGTTGGCCACTTGGTATCTACCCGGGATTTTATAAGGGTTTACTCCCTTAGTCTAAGTGGCTAACCAGAGCCCCGTTAGCCAGTGCGTTCCAGGTGAGTCCAGACAGGCCTTCTTGGTTACCGAAGTGGCCCAGGTGGTCGAACCACCCACCATACTTCAACCTGTCTGGAAATCCTGTACTTTACCTGTTACCACCTCCCACGATGTGGGAGGTGGTAGGCCACACCTGAAGCAGGTAACGGGGCACCGCCATGGCGGAGGCAAGGTCCCCCCCGCTGGTCCCGTCATCGTCTCGCTCCGACTCTCCCCAGCGGGATCTAACCACCCGACGCGCAGACCCAAGGAGACTCTCGACACTCCTGGATGCCCTTTTCTCCCGGAAATCCAGCCCCGGCTGCCACCCAGGCACGTTGTCGCAGGTGACAGTGTGCCTGGATGCATCAGGCTACCTGAGTCGAGGACAGGTCGTCCTCCTCTGTGGCCGGCAAAAAAACTTTAATCTCCTGAGCCAGCACCAACAGTTTCTCTAGCACCAGAGAATCCAGTCCTGCCCGCTCCCTACGTGGGTACACATCCTGGGCCAGCAACAATAGTGCGCTGCGGAAGGCGACAGGTGTCTCGGTCTCCCCCCAACTCTGCATCACGAATTTCCACTGCGCGTTGGACGGCGGGTCAAAAATTGCTGCCAACTGGGCGTACACTTGACACAGCGTCATTCTGCCCACCTCGGGAATGGAAAAAAACGCCGCCAAGGCTGCGTCATCCAGTGCGGTGCCTCCGCTTCGGACAACCCCGTGAGCTCGCAAGTGGCGGCAAACTGCCGCCGGAAGACCGCCCAGCCGAAAATTATTTGAAAAACGGCAGCCGCTGTGGGAGGGAAGGCGCCCCCGGATGAGCTGTCGGTGGCAGGTTACATTCGGCGGGACTCAATTCCTGCCCTTGGTCGGCAGTGACAGTGGAGTCACCCGCTCGCTGCCCCCGAGTCGCAGCCCCCTCCTCCCGCTCTTCCTTACCTAGCTGCCCCACCAGCGCTGTCACCGCAGAGAGCGGCTCCACGATGCGCACGCTGAGTGCCCACAGCCTTTCCTCAGCTAGCGGCGGCGCAGGATCGTCGTCCTTCGCCCTCTGCCCCGCCAGGACCGCCTCTCCGGGACCCCCCCACCGGGGTCCTGGCTGCCAGGGTTGCCTGAGAACCCTCATCACCATCGTCTTCTTCACTCGAGGATGTGCCGATGAGAACCATTCTCTTAGCGAACTTCGACATAGCCTATATCCCCCTCAAGGATTCGAAAGGATAATTCCTAACAACCCTACAATGTCTAAAAATAAAATTGTTTGTTAACACTCCTGACACGAAATGTAGTAAACTAATTCACAGACACTAGTAGAAGGTACTCTCTCTTGTTTATTCCGGCCATCACAGCCTTAAGGGATAACTACATACCGGGTCGGTACAGCCAACATGCTGCCAGATCCACAGCTTGAAGAAGGTGAAGATCATGACGACGATGGCACGAGTTCCATTCCAGATCCCAGCAGCCCCGACTGTGAGTCGTTTGCCTTTTATCCTGCCCAGCGTGGCAAGGCTCCGCCATCAGCCCCGCACCCTTCAAGATCCCCCAGAGGGCTCTGGGCCTTGTCCACAGGTCCAACTGGTAGAATGGGCTGTTACCCCTAATTCCATTGTCTAACAATCTCCCAGCGGCACGCGCTACAGTGACTCATTCAATGTCACTACACTATTATAAGCCTCGTGGTGAGCCAGTGCTATTCGTATTTCACATCCGTCAACTTAAATTGTTAAATTAACATCTGCGCATGTGCGAAACGCTGACTGGTGGTTGCCCTAGCAACGCACACATGCAATCGGTGGGGAGAGGGGGGAATTCCAATTCGCGTTAAAATGCTAAAAAAGTACACACAACACTGAAGTAAATTATTCAAAGTGTGATGTCCTCTTCTCTACTCCTCACCCCAATGTGTGCACTTACTACAATAGGGACAGTAGATACTACAATTATATCCCTTAGATACTATTACTGTAGAGCGGGCGGGGGGATGGTGGGGGGGGGGGGGGGTAGCAGCCCAGCCCAGTCTGCAAAAGGTGCCACCTTGGCCGGCTGCGCAATCTAGGCGAGGCCGGGGGCTCTGCACAGGACTAGGCCTCACCACTACACTCTGTGAAGTTAGTACTATTATTGAGTCGATATATACTATTGTAATAAACTACTTCCACGACGATTCTTGTAATGGTGCTTCTTTATTAAACTGTAGAACTGCACAGCTCCGCTCCTTCCCTCTCCGGGTAAATTCCCTTTTTATCAATGCCATTGACGAGGCGTTCTCTCCGTCCCACTAACGAGGTTCGCCATGCTCTCAGATCCCACCGTTGGTTGGCGGCGTGCCGGGGAGAAGAGGCGAGCTCTGCTGGGGGATCTGCCACGTGGTCGGTGGCGAGGAGAGGATGAACAGCGACGCAGTCCGGAACCGAAGCTTCCCACACCGACCACGAGTCTTCCCCTGCCTCTGCTTATATTCCCCCCGGCAGAGCTGAGCTCCGCCTCTAGCCACGCCCCCTCGTGGAACCTTCCCGATGGTTCCCGAAGATCTTCTCCGACCCCGCCCGTCACCTTTGGCCCAGATATTATCTCCGCTTAGGATTGGATGCTGATTACCCAATAGTGCCCATACAGTTACCCACTGGCACCCACTAGATGGCGCTCTCGCATTACATCACCCTCCCCTGTAATAGGAAGACTACCCGTCCCAGCTAGAGATTAAACCAATATAAGTAATGAAGAGATGCGAACATGGGAGAACTCGTGGTGAGTGTTCGTAGGGGCTACACCCAAGTAGGACGAGAACCCAATAATAACAAGAATCCATAACAAAGGAATAAAAGATTAAGGGACGAATCCCATAATGCAAGGAGAGAAAAACAACACATGGGCGAATTCAACAAAACCGTAGCATTTCAGAGCAAGTCCACAATGCTGGACCATCGACGGGAGCTGCATCCCGCTCCTCCCCGGTCGGCACGCCGGGTGGCAGGACAGGTGACGGGGGAGCGGAAGGCTGTGGGCGGAAAAACAGATTCCATCGGGGGATCACCCTGTAACCACACTGCCCCCGGTCAGTCGGACACGTCATTCCAATTATTGGAGATGAAGAAGCAACACGCGGGGGAATAAATGGTTTCAATCGAGAGGGGTGGACCAACCAATGACGGCGGCCCGCCCGGATACGCACACATTGCGGACGTTTGATTTCGACCACTTCCACAGGTCCGTGCCAGGGCTTATCTAATTTAGGGGAGGTGCCAACGGGCACCAGAGGGCAATGTAGTCAAGCCCTGTCACCAACGGACCATGGCATGTCACTGCCAGACCTGCGCGCATGACATTCATTGTGTATTGGCAGTGTTGACTCTAGCCGCTTCCCAGGCCTCAGAAATACGCCGCAAGGAATCGCGGACATGTTCCGGCAGTGTAGATTTTGCGTCCCCAATCGGCGCTCCCAATTGGGTGTCTATAGGGGGCACGTTTTTCCCTCCCATACATAAGGAGAAATGGCGAAAATCCTGTGGAAGCGTGCGGGGCCATCCTTTATGCAGCGAGCATGCTCGGCACATGCAAATCCCAATCAGCTTGTTTGGCATCCACCGTCTGAAAGAGCATGGCGGACAAGTCCTGTTCAGACGTTCGACCATCCTGTCTGTCTGAGGGTGGTACGGCGACGTTCTAATTTTCTTAGTGCCCAAAGCGTCGCAGACCTTGTGCAGCAGTTGACGAGAAATTCTGCCCCTGACCAGTGAGCAACTGCTCAGGGGCGCACTTTCTAATTACGTATCCATACAAAAACCCTCAGCAATCGAAGCCACCAACTGGTCAGGCAGTGGCCAAGCCATATGCCATTGTGATAAATGCTCAACCCCCACCAAGAGAAATCTATTCCCTCTTTGAGTGGCTGGGAAGGGCCCAAAGATATAAAGCACTACCAACTCGTTAACCCTTGAAACCGAAATGGATTGCAGTGGAGTTTGGGACTTCCTCAGCGGTGGTTTCCTACGAGCACACACCGTACACCATTGGACCAAGTGGTACACATCACTTGACATACCTGGCCACTAATAATCATGCCACAGCATTAGCAAAGTCCTCCAGACCCCAAGATGCAACAACTTGTCCTCGTTTACCACTTGAATCGATTTACCTCGAAGGGCAGTGGGGATGACAACACAACAACAGTATAACATATCTTCCCTCAGGATCAACAGGCCATCCTGAACGACCATTCGCGGCCCGTCAGCAGGTGCGGGAGCATTATGTTCTAACTCCGCACGACGCCGCAAGGCCGTCAGGGAATTATCATCCAATTGCTCTCGAACCCATTCAGAGCACGTAAGGTGCAAAACAATATCTGCAAGTGCAACACCTGGGCAGGCTCAGTATCCTCGAACACTGCAATGACAGTAGCTGAGCTCGCCGTCGGAGGTTAACAATGGCCCGTACTGGTCGAACATGCACAGCTTGAGGTAACCAGTACAACGCGTAACCGGTACAACGCGTTAGCATTGCAATGCCATACCCCTTTCCGATATATCACATGGAACGAGTATTCCTGTAAAATTTCAAGCCAACGCGAAAATTGGCCAGAAGGTTGATCAACCTTCAAGGAGTACAGAAGGGCCGTGTGATCCGTGCGGACAATGAATTCTCTGTCATAGAGGTAAGGCCTATACTGTTGTACGACATAAACCATGGACAACAGCTATCTGCGAGTAACACATTAACGCCATTCTGTGGGGGACTGGACGCGGCTACCATACGCGACTACTTTTTCCACCCCTTAACCTGGGACATGACGGCACCTATGCCCGTATCGCTAGCATCTGTCACGAATACATGGCATGGAGAAATCAGGGTACTCGAGTGGGGGCGCATCGGACAACCACTCACGAAGGGCTGAAAATGCAGCCTCTTCTTCCACTGCCCATTGGAAAATCTGGTTTTTAGCCGTCAAGGCGTGCAAGGGCTTAGCAACCATGGCAAATTGTGGTACGAACCTGTGATAGTATGACGCAAACGCGACGAAGCTGCGGACATCTCCCACGCACACAAGCTGTTTTCTCGGCTATGCCGTTCGCACTAACAATATGACCAAAATAGCACACAGAATTCTGCAGCAGATGACATTTCACTGGTTTAAATTTCAAATTGGCTGATCGCATTCGAACAAAGACAGATCGCAGCCACTGGAGATGTTCGTCAAAAGTGCGGCTGGACACAATGAAATCATCCAAATAAATGAGACAAGAGTCCTACTGCAGGCCAGTCAAAACAAGTTCCATAAGCCGTTGAAAGGTGGCCAGAGTCGAATTCAAGCCCATCGGACGACAATTAAATTGGAAGAGTCCCTGGGGTGTGCGAAACATGGTTTTAGGCTTTGATGATTCGTTAAGGGGAAGTTGCCAAAACCACGATGACAAGTCGAACGTAGTAAAAAAACCCACACCGTACCAAGCATCCAGAGAGTCGTCCATGCGCGGATGTGGGGATGCGTCGACTTCGGAAACCTTATTCAACTTACGGAAGCGAACGCAAAACCTAAGACTTCTGTCCTTTTTCTTGACAAGCATGACGGGTGCTCCCTAAGGGCTGGTAGACGGATAAATATTATCTGTGGCCAACATCTCATCGACCGCCTGTTGCACACATTCCTTTTCTAGTGGACTCAATCAATACGTGTTCTGACGAACAGGGCCGGCCTCCCCTGTGTTAATACGATGTTGCAATAAGGAGGTACGGCCAATATCAAATTCACTTTGGCTAAATACGTCATTAAAGTCACACAGCAGCGATCACAATTCCCCTCACTGCACCGAAGACAACTGCGAATTCTCCTGCCCACATGGCGCTCACAAATCCAGTCTGTTCCACTGCACCAATTACACCACCGGTCACATCGGCATTATTTTCAGAAAATGCGGTTGTCGCGTGAGCCAATACCGTACCCGCCTGGACCGAAACGGTTCCCGGACCCACGTTAAACACTTGTAAGAATGGCTCTTGGTCGAGGCGAAGGACCGGGTGTGCGCATACTAGCGCCAATCCACTGGTCGCCGTATTCTACAGAGCCAGGAGGACGCCCGCCTTTGGATAAACCTTTCCCAACCGCTTGTGATAGCGAAACAGTACAAGCATCTG